TGTTTTTTATTAATAATGATGACTTTTTCGGCCCAATAATTGTTTAATGGTATTATTTACATTACGGGATTCGTGCAATATCCAACCGATTTGAATGACGATGGCCAACAGAAAACCATTAAGTTACTATATTTTATATTTAAAAACTTGTATATACTTTGACGGTTCCCAATTACTATCATACTGAATCTCTTATCAATCACTAATTAAAATTCACTTCTTCGCGAATTAACATCATAAAAAATAATAGTCTAGCTACTGCATCTAACTGTAGAATTCATTGCGGACCATAGCTCAAGCTATGAATACGGGCTGTGAGACCCCAGAGGGTTATAGAGAAGATTTCTATGATGATACACTTGTAGCCTCTTCCATCAAAAGATCACCACTTGCAAACTATATAACTATGATCTTTAATTCTTGATATTAAATATTCAATTCCTTTGATTATTATTATCTTGATTTTGATAGTCTGGTTTTCCATTAAAAATCCTTAGCTCTTTTTGGACGTATAGCTGAGCCACTACTCAAATCAACTACAATTTGTATAAGAAACAGGATTGAATTAGTGAATGAAGTTCAATTAATAAAAATCATCATTTTCTTTATTGTAAAAAATTTTCTCAAATAAAATAATCCATATTTTACAAATTGAAATCTTAGACATGTGTTGAAAAGCTGCAGCTATTGTCTTTATAATAAATAATATTAAATAATTAATAATCAAAAAAAAATTTTTTTTTGGTTAAACTATCCTAAATGCTTAAATTTTAATTCCCTAATAAATGTTAATAATGTATTTTACCATAAAATTAAATTAATAATATACATTATATTTATTGCGTATTTGTGAACAATATGAATACAAGATAAATGAATGAAGCTTTAGCATTCAATTCATTACCAACATGATTTTTTTACATTATAGTTACACATATCCATATTTTTTATTTATAAATTTTATTTTGATTGATAAAAGAATTCAGTTATGCAAGTCATAAATTATAATTCTGCTAGAAATTTTAAAAATTTAGTAAAAAATAACATTCATTTTAAAAAAAGTATTTTTGATTATTTTAATTTTTATCAATTATTTGAAAAACTTCTAATTCATCATATCTACTAATAACTACTATATTGATGTTATTATAAGTTGAGGGATTACTATAAATAGTACCACCTGTTTGAAAATAAACATCAGAACCACAACCAAAAATAGGTAACCAACTAGGATCACACCTAATTGCATATTCATTACTAGTGTTGTTAACATAACTAAATTGCGCAGTATTGATATCATTTCTATTATTTATATTAAATATAAAACTATCAGTTGTATTTTTATCAATCTGATCCCCATTCCAATTAAATGGATTGTAACCTCCAATTATTTGATCTGAATTTTGTATTCTTCCAACCACAAGAGTTTTGTTGATATTATTACATTTTTGATGGAATATAGTTGTATTTAAACCATCTCTACTGCTATGATATAAAAGTTTGAATTCATATTTGACTTCTCTGAATGAAATGTATGGTGGAGTTTTTTTATCAATCCAGCTAGCAAAAATCAATGTAAGATTTTGATTGATTGTCAGTGATTCAAGTTTAAGTTTTGGATTTCTATGATTTCTTGATGGTAATAAATCTAAAGTTTGCTGTTTATCAGGAACCAAATAATTATCTAAAAGATTATCCCATAAATTCTTTGGAAGAAGTTTTTTAAAAGGAACAATTTTGTAACAAAATTCCTCACTAGAAATATCCTGGAATCAAATTTAAGGGAATTAATTCTTTCAGAGTGTTTCCTAAATCAGTAAAATTTTGCTTTGTCCAAGTTTTAACATAATTAATATTATTAATTTCTGGATGCTTGGCTAGTCCCCATTTAAGAATACTTTCTCAAATTCCTATTTCCTCAATGTAAAAATCATTACTTTCAAGTATAGCAATTAAAATTGGTTTTTCCAATAATTCAAATTCACTTGACTCAAATAAATTATCACAATAATCATAAAATTTTTCTAAATAAAATTTTTTCAATTCCTTAAATATTTCTTCATTAGAATAGATTGATTTTAGAATCTTAACAGAATTTTCTTTAATGTAATCCTCATGTTTTTCAATAAAGTAATTCATTGTAAATTTGTAAAATGACTCAAGGCCAAGTTCATCTTCTACAATCAATAATTACGATACATCTGCTCCATTAAATTCATCTAACTCAATTTTGCAAGTATATAGAAATCTTTTAAATGTAGAATATTATTATTATTATTATTATTATTAAAAATAAACAAATGATAAAGTTATTGTTATTAATAGTATAATAAACTTACTTAAGTATTGTCTTAAAGGCCAATTCATTAAGATTTGCTTTCTCAATGATAAAATAACCATTTTCTTTTTTTGCATTCATTAATGCATTTCGATAAAAAGGACAATGTGCAGATATAATTGATGAATGTGCATGAACTTCTTTAATATTTGGTTCTACACCAACATAAATTTTTACATCATATAAATCTTCTGTATTTAATAATCTTTCATTTTCGTTAAAATAAATTTCAAAGATAGTTGAATCCATTTTTTTTTTTTTAGAAATACATAAATTTAAAATTTTTTTTTTTGATAATCCCAAAAAATACAAGTGAATGAAGTTGCACGAACCAATTCAGGGCGTAGTTTTTTATAATAAAAGTAATACTCCTTCTTAAAGATTAACTTCATATATGAAAAAGTGTTATCATGAAGTTTTACATCCTATAATTCCAAAATTAATTCGCATTCCCGCCTGCTGTACACATTTTGAGATTTAATTTTATTGTTTATATACAAGTTATTAAAATCCAATAAATAAATTAATTTTTATTTAGTGCATTAATCATTCTTTAGCAGTTAAAACATTATTAGAAAGAGTTGCAAAAACATTTAGCACATTGTCATTGATATATGGATCATTTACAATTAATCAACCACGATAAATTCTTTACGGAATTATTGATTTGAAATTGTTAATTGTATAGTATGGATTTTTCAAGCTGAGATTGAATTTGATGAAACTGAAACATTAAAAGCTATTGTATCACTCACTCCTTTCTAATAGACAACAATTAGGCTCATTCATTACAATCAATTTATTTAAACATTGAATTTTTTCAACAAGAAAAACCCAGCATTATTGAAAGTAACCACAAAATCTCCCAACATCTATAGAAAAGTAACATGATGTGAAAAATGAATTATTCTTACATACCGCTGATACCGTGACCTTGATTTTAGTTACATGCAGATATAAATAAAATTGATACTTTTTAAAAGAAAATGAGTGAGTTTTAGACTTGCTTTAGATCTCAAAATTTTTCTTTTTTTCTTTTTTTTTTTCTACTTACGTCTTAGAATATTTAATATAATTATTGACAAAGTATGCATCATCTTACAAAAATCTTTTTATTAAATATTGTAATTGCCTCGTGCTTTTTAAAAATGCACCCTTATATCAAATCAGAATCTCGGTCAACAATGGAATCTTTCAAGTTTCAATCGGAAGAGGCGAAAAATCTGTTAAAAAGAATGGAAAAGAAAATAAAAGCAGGTAACCATGATACCACCATTCCATATATAATAATGAAAGAAAACTTTCAAGACATTATTATTTTGTGTAATTACTTTCATTCACTTGTCATGATGTTTATGGACAGTAGAACCCTCTCAATGTTGGCAGTTACTGCTTTATTTGCGCAATTTCTGAATACTTATTCCATTATGGTATTGAATTTGTAATAATTAATCAATAAGTTTGATTTTAAGTGACCATTAAATTATTATTCAACTAATGATTATAAAAATTATTTTTAATACTAATTTAACAAAATAATAAATGGCAAATTTATGTTGAATTAATTCGATAATAATTTAAGATTAGGCATTGTACCATATCGAGCATTATAGAATTTGGGATCCGGATCCAAAAAAATAACCGATATGAAAAGTCTGCTAAATCAAGGCAATAAAAAAAAAAAATAATTACATTTTTGGAGTTTCTCACAAGCCATGTGTAGCATACTTGATCAAATATCCACATTTCACAATAACTCTTTATTTTTTATGCTGTATCTCATGATAAATGAAAATAGACCGAGAAACAACGTTAGAAACACATTTTTTCAGAGTTGAAATAGAGTGTTCTACAATATTAGCAATTTCTTAAATCTTACCTTTAGATGCATTAACTATTCCAACCATATTACTATCGCTTTCAAGCTGGCCAGGATAGAATATCAAATAAATTTATAAATTTGGGGGGAGAAGATTGATTATATACCTTCGTATTACTACTGCATTAGATAGTCTTAAATATGACTCACCAGAATAAATCCAAGAAAAATAGACGAAAACTCGTGATAATTGTACCACAAATCCTAAACAGCACTTACAATATCAAAATCTGGAATATCATAGATGAGGAACATATAATTATCATAAATAGGAACACACAAGATACAAATGCAGTACTTGAGGTATATAGATAGCTTACTTTCCTGCATGTACGCACCCCCCTTTTCGGACTGTCCTCAAAGGTTAGAGAGAAAGCAATTAGAATAATTACTTATATGTCTAGGGAACCATAAAATTTTTGCGCAGTAATGCTTAAAATTGTAAGCAAAAGAAGTGATAAACATCGTAATAAATCAAAAGATGAATTGAGCAAGTAAATATTAATTAGGTTATTGGGAGAATAAAAGAACCGCGAAATTGGAAATAGTAATTGAAGTAATTAAACGAAAGAAGTTTCAAGAAATAAACAATAAACCATAGATATCATCCAGCAAGTTTTGGAACTGAGGTTAGGTCTCCGATGAAATACATTTTGCATAACGATTTAATATTTAAAGAAAATGTGATGTAAAAAAATTTATTCGTTTATTAAAGAATATTCAATGTGATGATGATAATAATAATAATAACGTTCACGTTGTAATATATTGTAAATTGTGTAACTAGATGTAGATTTTGTCTCTCATCGGATTTTCGGGGCATCGATTCTTGACGTGAGTAGGTGAGCCGCAGACGTAACATTTGCCGATTTCTAATGATGACCCTCCTACTGCATTCATAGGTTTCTCCCATTCATTTTGCTTCAGTCGATAAAGTAGCATGCAAGTTCTTGCATCTTCAACCTGCAAATAAAAATAATTAAATGAAAAAATTGATTGGTTGAAAAAAAAATATATTATAAATATTTTCAAGTTACAACTTACAGAATCATGCGTGCCTTCTTGTATCTGTAGTCCTAAAACCTCTTTGGCCAATTTTTTAAGAGAAGGCTTTTTGTTCTTATACATCAGTTTCTTTCCGAATCTATCGCCAAACAAGTAATAATAATGTGAAGTATCGCGTATCACCGTGGAGTCTGCTAGATGTTCCAATTCTAAAGCCTGTAGTAAAATGTTTAATAATGGTTTTTTTTTTAAAAAAAACAGCAATAAAAATAACTAACATTAAAATCAAAACCAAGAGATTGACCAATTATCAATTTTCCATTCATTAATTCCTGAACTTCACGTTGAACTTCATCAAAATCATGAGCTATTAAAAAAATTAAAAAAAAAGAGATAATTTAAAATAATCCGATGAAAACATTTAAAATGATATTAATCATACCATTTTCTAAATGTTCTTTGGTGATCCCACTGTACGGTGTACGGTAATCCGTGACTACTTTTTTTGGCTTGACGTATTTATCAAGTAACTTCGTCCCATAATAATTTACAATGCTGACTCTAGCAAGTGCTGACACACTCCCCTGATAACCAACTCCAACCATTTCACAATCAATTGCTATGCATTCATCATTCACTAAAACACTATCAAAAAAAAAAAAAAAAAAATCAAATTAAAAAAGTTTTACCACGTCTTATAAAAAAATTAAGTATTAACTTACTCGTTTGTCAATTTTTCATTAAGAAGCAGAAACAAATTGTCTGTTGAACGAAGCGATGTTTTAGATGAATAGTATCTTGTTCCAGAATATCTCGACATTGTTTTGTTGTTAGTTTACTTTTTGTAATAAATAAAAAGGATGATTGTAATCAAGTCTCACACATATATATAGCCGTTAATTTGCCATTCTGTCTTTTAATGGCATAAAAGAAGTTTTAACATATTGCTCCTTGAATGTCGCGCACAATGAATTATTTATTGAATGGAGTTTTAAATATCTGTGATTAAAATGATTTGTTTAAAAAAAGAATTTGTGTGTTTATTTGCTTCTCATAAAGATAAATTTCTTAATGTTTTATATTGTATAATAATAATAAATAAAACACGGGTAACGTAACAGATAATAGTAACAACGGATTGGCTGTTATAAATTTGACAAAGGTTTTTATACCTATTACAAAAAATAATATATGTATTCTATAAATAAACCTTAAACAATTTCTTGAAAAAACAAAAGTCTAACGATTATAATGGGTTGTTATTATTATTGTTTTCGCTTAATTTCATTCAGGGCTGGAAATAGTAATGGTAATGGTATCTTAAAAATCCGGATATTTTTTAACTTCCAAAAAAAAAAAATAGTTTTAATTAATATTCGATAATTAAAAAACGTATTTAAAATTTTTTTATATATACCTTCAAAAATTATAAAAATTATAAATCTATCTTTCGGGAAATTTGAAATTTTCATTTTTTCATTCATTCCAAATATGATAACTGTCAATTTAATCGTACACAATCAAAAATTTACGAATTAGGAACACAAGATACAAATGATCAACTATAGAAATTTAATATGCATGCATATCTGGGAACTATTGGGGTATTCGATATAAGTTGATTAACAAATCTAATTAATGTCATAATGTAAATCCATATATGCGGATTTTTTTATGGTGCCCCCTTT